GAAACATAGTATTTCCTCCCTCATTCGAGAAGGATAAGGACAATGTGAAGCGCATCCGACGATGAGCCATGAAATCAGTTCGGGGACTCAAATTTAAGTCTTATGAAGAGCGCGTTTAAACACTGAACATTTACCGATTAGAGTACAGGTGTCTTAGAGGTGAAATTCAAATAACTCGCATTCTATATATTTCTGGACATCCCCTTAAACAACCACTCAAACTTAGTCCCAATACAAGCATCTGAGTTATTACCCGGAAACTGGAGACACACTAAATCAGAACGAACTGTAGACACACCTTCTACTCCCTAAGAGTAGTCAAATGCTGGAATTCGCTGAAGACTGAGATAGTCTAAGCGACTTTCCAAGAATCCTTTCGGAGAAAAATTGACATATTCTCAAGGACTAAAGATGGTATCTTTTCTTTTCCTTCTTCTCATTTTGTCGTTAATATATCTAAGTCCCTGCCTGGAGGCATCGGTGATTCCAATCTACTAGATACGGAGGTCCGTTGAGCGAAAGCTTCTTCTGTTCCGTTCAGAACCATTTTGAACCGAAATAGGATACTTCACTTCCTGTCCATTTGCGCCTAAAAATACTGGGTTCGAGTGATCACAAGCAATTAGATTTAAGAAGGGAAGGAACTTGAACCAGTTTAGACTGACACTGAACCGTAAAATATAGGAAAGCGCTCTCAAGTTAATGCTCTTGAGAGTGATCCAAATTTTATGAAAAATGACATGTATTTCCAAGCATTATTCTCATTCCTTGAAAGATTATCAAAGTGAAAATATGTTTTTTCGCATCGATAGTGTATTCCTTCAGTTGTGGCGCCAGCGTCAAGTTCCGTCGTATGTTATTCCTATGACATCAACGTCTGAACAAAGAATCACGATCGCCCTGCAAAAGATAACTCAAAAGTTGGGGAAATGCTTTCTGTGAGTGTTGCTAAGCTGTTATTATTTTTAGCGAAAACGTTGAAGATAAATGCAGCCATATCAGATCTAAAGATGCAACTTGGTTCAACAACATTGTACAAGATATCGTGGCTGACTTTCAGAAACATTCATCTGAAGCCTGCTCAACTGTCCTCTCGCAGTACGGCATAAATAACAAGGAAATCTTGTTAGAAGAAGCTAACAAAACACTAAACCATACGAAATCCTGGTAACTTACTTCAATATGCCCTTACGAATTGTTACAGGCGACCTTCTGGAGATCCTGAAAAAGATATCAGGGCTCATCTTTTGCCTCTCAGCAAGTCTTATATGGAAAATTTGTGTTCTTATTCCCAAGAACTGGATTTAGAATTGGGTAGACGTTCAGAGGAACTAAGGAGATTACGTCAAACTCTTTACGATGAAGTAATTGAATTTCGATCTTTGGCAGAAAAATTGCAAAACGTAAGTAGCTCACCTTATTTTTAAGACATCTTTATCTGTGTAAATGTTGTAAAGACCTGTGAGCTATTTTATGTGACCCTACCAGAAGAGAAATAAGAGTTCCTTGTATTATGAATGACCATTTACTGAATACTCAAATGTTGAGCATCTAAATTACGAATGTGGACGGTGCAATGTTATGATAATAACCTCTTAGGGATATGCAGTTGCTCTTATGTGTTTGCTCAAAAGGTTCCTCAAAAATATAACAGATTTGTGCGGTAAGTCAAGTTTAGATGAGAAATCAGTTGCTGAAACTAAGACTTGTTTTTATTGAGCAGGTGAGTTATATTTCCATATACATCATGCAGACTGACTAATTTTGAAATATTCACTCGTTTCGTCGCCAGTATTCAGATCCTTATCATATTAGTCAAAGCCTCATCAAAGTATATGTTAAATTTTACCTACTAAGTAACTGAAGGTTGGATACGTATTAAAAGGATTAAAGTGTAAACACCAGACAGGAGTATAGGTTTATTTGATCAATTTCCTATAAATAATCCGAAAAATGAAGAATTTGGCACTACAATGCACTAACTGACTCCACTTCACTTAACAGGAAAGAGGGAACTAGCAATGCTGATATTGACAAGTGGGATATTAGTAAATGGTAGACAAAACTATGTGATATTTGTGTGTAGCCAATGAATTTTTAACATTGTTAAAACCTTATCTACTTAACAAACAGTAATTCATGGAGTTCAGATCTACCAGTCACAACCTCGTGAATTTGTCTTGTTTTTAACTGGTCCGTTCTCAGGCTTTATTCAGTTTATATAACACTGAGTCAGTAATACTAAAACACAAACTAAGCGCTTATAAAGCGGTTTGGATTTAAAATATATAAGATTAGCGTACATTTTTTGAAACCACTTAGCAAGCTTTGTCAAGGTCTTATAATAATGAACGTGTTTTGTAATTTTGCGATTCGAATAGTATGTGATTTTGATGCTTCTAAGTAGTTATATGATCGTAAATCAATGGAATTTTTAAAAAAGCCCATCAGTTAAGCTTCTCTGTCAGTTTCATGAGAGGAGTTGTATCTTGACGTCTCTAATTAATCGACTACTACGTTGGCTAATGATTTTCTAAATGTAAGTCTAAGATTATATCGTTTTCAAAAACTATTCCCAGAGTTTAATTGAGGGTTTCGCAACACGATACCAAATGCCCTGGTACGGCCGAGGGTGTAGAGAGTCATCTCTCCATCTCGAAATGCTCTTACATGGCCACGCGTATACGGCCACCGCCAGGGAAGTCCTACTCACTGCTTTCTCGTGGTGTTGTTTGCGAAATTGAGAGGATTAGAAGCGAATGCATGGCGCTTTAACCGAGTTGGTGCACATGGAGGATCCACCTAGGGGAGTTGGAAAACCCTGATTCCAAACCAGTGGTGCACATGGGCTCCAGGATTCTGCGAGAACAAATGGTATTGCATCTCCTGACGTTACTCCACTGCCTTGTGAATCAGACCTATAGGTCGAAGGCTCCGGGTGTGGCCTAAGAAAACCACTTGCTTCGATCTGGCCACCCTAGCAGTATCACAGTCCACACAAATCAAGTAACTTGTGTGGCGCATATGTATTCGGTGCCCCTTTGTACCAATGTTTATGTGTTCAAATAAATAAACTGAAAAATCATTAGGTTTGCCTCCGCTGTATAAGTTGATGAGCTTTGGTTCCAAATACTATCTTAGGAACTGCTAATAAGAATGGAAATCACTTCGTTACGTTGTTTTCATCAAGTTAATCATGGCAATACCAAGGTACGTTCCATAATTTTTTTTGTCAGAAAGGAAAATGGGAGCATATAAGCTAATTTTTCATTAAACTTATGATTGTATTCTGCTGAGATAATGTCAAGTACAATGGATGAAATTGCTAGTTATTGTATCAGACATCAAATAGTCTTCACAAAATATTGATACTTGAGTTTAAACACAACGTGAAATTGATTGTGCTGTAAATTTGACGGTAATTCTACATTTATATATGTGCTAGAGTAATGTTAACCTGTCGCCAGTAAGCCCTAGAAAATCCTGTTTACTGTTTGTTTTATTGATATAATGTAGTAGTTTTATTTTATTTATTTGAACACATAAATATTGGTACAGGGGGGCACCAAATATATATGCACCACACAAGTTCATCATAGTTTTAGTGTGTGGGCTGAGATACTGCCCGGGTGCCCAAACCGAAGCAGGTGGTTTTCTTAGGGGGCCACACCCCGAGCCTTTGACCTAAGGGCCTAGTCCACAAGGCAGTGGAGCATCGTGAGGAGATGCAGTCCCATGGAAGCCGGTGACCAAAAGTTGGTTCATACGCCATTTGTTCCTTCAGGATACTGGAGCCCATGTGCACCATAGAATCGGGATCCGGTTATAGCGCCGGACGTTCGCTTTTCGTCCTCTCATTTTCGTAAACAACACCCCCGCCACGAGAAGGCAGTGAGTAGGACTTCCCTGGCAGAGGCTGTATACGCGTGGCAGTGTGAGAGTATTTCGAGAGGGAGGGCGAACCCTCCCCGCTCTCGGTCATACCAGGGCATTTGGGGGCATTACTTTAGAAATGAATGACTTAAAAATTCTTATATATGTAGGTAAATATTATACAATGAAGTAATGTACATATCACCATTTTTTATTTTGAATCAATAGATAAACTTTCATGCAGCGCTTGGAATGAGAATATTTATATTAAACACCTTAATATTCTAATGTTTTTTTCCCATTTTCAGTTATCCAAGTCCACTAAAAGTTTTGGACCATGTACTTCTGAGTTTCAAGAATCACCTAAGTCGATGCTAGACAAATAAAAAAAATAAAGAACAGAAAAGTTTTACTTCTGTTCATGATTTTTGACTGTTTTATTTTCTTAATTATTGATGGGGTTGCAAATTTTCTATACTTTTTTATTTGTAACTCAGTCTTTATTTATTTCTGCTTTTGTTAATGAAAATCAGTAAATGAATATTCATTTGAAAAAATGAGATAATTTGTGTTATAAAACTACCGTTGTCTGATTGAGCCACAGATTCTTTGATTTGCTAAATAAAATAAGTAATGTTATATGTTTATACAATAATAATATTTTTTAATGTTTTAATCCAATTATGATAACGAAATACGTATAAATATCTATCAAGTTGGCAGTAATTTAGGACTTGACACAGGGAGAATACTCACAGTCAACGTTAATATAATCTTGCGCAGATAATTGTACAATTGACGAAAGGCTTTTTAGACTGCTCAACTCCATAAATCACACCAGTCGCTATATTTAGGATCATTGTTTAGAGTATTTAAGACTGCAGAAACCAGTGTGCGGAAGAATCGTTGTGTGGAATTGCAAATTATCATCGTCAATAGATTTACCTTTTAATTACCAAACTAAACGTGAATACATTCTTCATTATGTGTCTGTTCTCCCTTACTTCATTTTAGGGAAATAACTTGTTCTTTCATTATCCAATAAATTGACAGAACTGTCCGTTACTGTTACTTACTATATCATTCTAGTCAATCACGTACTCACAGTTTATACATTGATTGCTCGATTATACATCGACAAGGTCTTGGTATATTCTATCCAATGTTTTAGGAAACCATATTCCATTGCCTTAGAAAGACAAAGTATAGATTCATTTCGATTTTGGTAACTATGTTCCAGACGACAATTCTCTATTTAATATGTTTCATCCCACATAAACCTATCAAATGTTCGTTTACTTCCTCGCGATATATATGAAGTAGTTAGAAAACATTTCTGTATTGGAAAGCACTTTGCACAAGGAATCCTGGTCTTTCAAATGGTATACTTTAGGCGCTTATTAGTTAATTCGACCTCCGTATAGAGGTATGTGTTTAGTGGGTTTGTCTGACCCAATGTTCATTCGTATCTGTCCTAATCGACTTGTTTTGTGTGACAAGATGTGGCTGTCATTTTTAATCTCAGAAAAATAGCTCTTACCTAAAATTATGCTTCAGAAGTCAAAGATAAATCACGTTAGTGAAACCAAGTCCAAGTAAAATCAAGGTGTCTTCCATTGTCATTTCCAACCTATTTGTAAATACCTTCGTGGGTTGATTTGATAATACTTTATTTCCTAGCACATTTCTAACAAAGATGAATTGTTCTTTGACTACTACATACAGTATTATTATCTTGATACGATCGATATCAATAGGCCACAAGTTGATAGTTTCTTAATATCTTAAACACTGTTCACACAGTACTGCTGTTTTAACATTTGGATTTCTCTTCCATGATACGTGTTTCCTTCTGTCGACTGAAATTAATTCCACTGAACAACCAAACTGAAGTCTGTACATTTGACTTTGTCGCACTTTTCTTCGTGAGGCTTGGTGATACTTCTCACCTATCTAAATCAAAATAGGTATAGTTGTGTTCAAATCTGCAACTCAACGACTGTAAGTTGGATGCAGTAATCACCATTCTGTTTTGTCAAAAAGGCGAAAAAGAAATCAGAATTGATTCGTGTGTGGTGTATCGCCTGTCTTAACCTTTAAAAAGTATAATTGAAGGGATTAGGCAGTACTATGACCAAGAAATCACCCAATAATACAGTTGACGGTCTTGACAAATTTCCCTCCCTAAATTTTAGATTTACATTCCCTAGGAAGTCTTTTGATGGTACAATTGACTAGACGGGTGGACATGAGGACTTGGTCTTAGTTTCGATATCCCATTAGCTTTCCTGCCTTAGACATGATCTTGATTTATTAGGTCAACTGACTTGACAGTTCTTGCGTGCATAAATATACTTCACTAGTCAATCTGATATTCCACCTACTGAGAAAATAGTCCAGTGTTCACCCAGGCTTTTGGCTTCAGGCGGTCTGAAATTAACTGTCTGATCAGAATTGCTGCTTGCTTCAACTGGTTTTATCGGGTCTGCTATTGTTTAATTCTTTTGGATAGTGACAATTTTGGAGTACAGTGTTGCGTAAAAGCGTATGTAGACCTATTCTAACAACTTTATTCAAGTATCTGATAACTGCTGAATCCGTATTTATAGTGCCTTTAAAAGTAACCACTAGATTCTTAAACTTAGTCCACATCTTTTTGTGACTTTCCTAAACTCTTTATCAAGGTGACAATATGTACGCCCATAAAATTCTATAAGTGCACACACATACATAAAGGAAAACTTCAGAAAGTTATTTCGCTTACTTCTTTGTTGATTTGGTTTGTGCATACATTCTTGAATTAAATTCACCCGCTGAATGTGATTGGAAATTGAGAGACCTAAATTCTGATATCTTTTTCTCGCCAATGCTTCATGACGACAGTGAAACTTTCCATGTACTGGCTGACAGGTATGTGATGCTATTCTTGGTAGATTAGCTCGTTTATCTGATATCTTATGTTGTTCTGAATCTACATGAAACGTTTTTGATCCTTCATACGTCCTGTCATTACACCCGTACATTCTTTCTCAGTTAAAAGAATACCAAGAAAATATTAAGTAAAATAATTATAAGTTATTTACAATAGTTTTTCACACTTTATTATTACAGTGCATTTTAATAATAGGTAACATCTTGTTTAAGATTCTAGATTTTTAGACAAATTATGTATATATCTTCTGTCTCGACATTTCTCTTTGGATAACACACTTGTTGTATAGTGTTTTATGAACTATATTGCGCTTTATATGAACTTAGATAACGTGAACTCTTGCCATATTCTATATCAAATATAACAGACTACATGAGGGAATCCTGATATCGTTTCGGCTCGTTTCTCCGACTGATGGGTAAAGAGAAACATACATCAATCAATGCAGTGTCTCAGTATGGGTTTTTAATATGTAGTTTCAATGATAAGTTGTAAGTACCTTACATAACCTCATTACTACGTTACCCTGTCGATACACATAATTAGTTAGCTTAAAAAATGTGTAATTATTTAGAAAATCAGTAGTACAGGTTTAGCTAAGCGGCAATTTACAAGTTTTGAAACTAAAAGATCGTTATAAATATTTATTATTGGGATAGGGAATCAATATTTAGATTTGACTTATGGTCAAACTGATAAGTTGGTTGTAAGGGTTTAATCAATCTGACATTTCATATAGCAACGCATTTTACACTTTAGATCGTCCATACATTTGAAATGAGACTTTTGTAAAACTGAAACTCAACAAATCTCTTTCTATTTAGTCGTAGTTACAACTCCTAATTTTGTTTAAACAAATTGTGTTTTATCTTAAGTTCGTGCTAATGATGTTGTCTGGAAAGGCAACGAAAGCTTTGTGATTATGCATCACGGAGAACATAACTACACGAGAAATCGACCACAATTTTATAACAATAAACTTGGATTAAAGTAAATGTTGACATATATTTGTATAGCGTAACAAAGATGTTTAGAGTCTGAATAGAATTTAAAAAGATTGGATAAGATATTACGATCGCATATCTTTTGGAAGATTTGAATAAAGTATTTAGGCGATATTATAGTAAATAAACACAATCTAACAAGAATTTAAAAAATTAACATCACAAACTGAATATTATGTTCATCTAGAACATCTTATTAATAAAATTATAAGCAAAAATGGATAGTGTCAAGCAGTGAAATCGAGGACGTGCGTTTCGCTCCATTTAGGACCCGTCAGCTGGATATACCTGCATCTCAGAGTTAATGTTCACTCTGGCACTCAAACCCATGCTATATACATAGTATGTACATATGCCAATAAGAGACTGATCAATTGCAGTCCTAAACATCAATGAGAAGATTCAAGTAAACAATACCAAGTAAATTCATCTTATTAAATATTTATAAATTGGTTTAGATTTTAACAATATTTGTTACATTATATGTACTGTACATTCCTGACACTTTATATTTTGCATTATTTATTCGTATAGTTTTCCACAATCTTTATTTTGATGGACTATTAATTTATTATCAATTGTTATAATCACAGTAATGGGTGAGTTTTCATGTATACGAAGTGACATGGTTTATATTCCTTTAAAATCTACATACAGTGTTAGTTGATTAAATAATTATTACATGGTTATTATATATACCGGGTGCTTTATTTGTACTTTAATTTTTTCCATTCATATTATTTATTGAGATTTTATTTACTTTATTGAATTATCCTAACTTTATTCGTAACAAATATCTGTACAAATCTAAATATCAGTAGTTTAGATCATGAGTCAATTGAAGTTAGACCACCATCGAAAACGTGGAAACACTGAACGACCATTTCGTCCTGTTGTTGGACTCCTCAGCAGTGCGCATCCACGATCCCGCCCTCCCGAGAGATTCGAACCCAGGACATATCAGTCTCGCGCACGAACGCTTAACCTCAGACCATTAGGTCGGCATCCAATGGTGTTAATGTCAAACTTCAACTAATCCACAAAATTGAGCGACACATCCACCATTGTCATCAGTGAGTTACTATCTGACAACAGACCCGGTTGAACTCCACTGTTTACTGCTTCTCACTAGAACTCCAGAATATACATCTCGAAGTCAGTCACTAGTGAGCATGTATTTTTCATAAGTATTCATTCGATCCCAAATATGATAATAACACACTTGTGTTTTTAAAAGACTACCTTTATGAAATTAATCGCTGTTCTCTCAATGGATTGTAAAGCCATTATTTTGTAAGTTTAACTAAATATAATATTATTTTGTCACTAAGTTCGAGTCTAATATTCTATTCTACACCTACTACTCTCTCAACACGACTGTGGAATAAATTATACATTAACTTTTGACTAACTTTATTTTTACAAAAATTTAACAAACTTCATTTGTAATTTTGAAATGAAAATAAGTTTATATTATTCTTCTTAAAACACTATTCTTATTCCTTCTTTCACTTCATAAAAACAGGAAATAAATGTATGAAATATATCAAATTTTGTTACTTAATCTTGACTCATTAATTCTCTTTTACAGCAATAAATATGATTGTTTTTTTTAAATACTGAAATCTCTTAAAATGAAATCACCCTAGAAATTATAAAGAGCAGGTAACTTCCAGTGTACTTTCAAGTTATGAATTATTAGTGATATTAATCAAAATAAATAAGAAACAATAAGATTTAAAGTGTTTTCTTTGTTTACCGAAAAAAAACGAAAGTTAATTATTTACACAATTAATTTTTCAACTATATTATATCGGTATAGGGTTGTGGAGATTATTAAGTTTTTGATTGAAATCATGAACCGATTGATGTTAAACCACCGTTGGAAACCTGGAAGCAACGGACGGCCGTTTCGTCCTATTTTGCGCACTGCTGAGGAGTCCCAAAATAGGACGAAACGACCGTCCAGTGCTTCCAGGGTTCCAACGGTGGTTTAACATCAATCGGTTCATGATCTCAATCCAAAAATAATTTATATCAATACAACTTACAAGTTTATTGTGTTTGAAGTATTTTGACGATCAGTTTTGATTTTTGTTAATTCTTTTAATGATAGTTTATCTTGTGAATAATGAAGAATTCTATACAAATCATCAAGAAACATGTTTACGTTATCAACTATGAAATCCTTTTGCTTCTTGATCATAGATTTTGAATTTGATGTCTGATAAGATACATTTCGTGTTAGGATATCAATTATTGGCAAAGTAAATGTTTTCTTATTCTTAGATTGTTTCCTTTTGATAGATAGTGAATTACTTAATTCCATGAGTAATTTTTGTTTAAACATCAGTTCAAAATGTGGTTGCTTTAGTAATCTTTGGTTAACATCTGATGACCCCCAGTATATTTCATACAATGGTTTTAGTACTGATATCCTGTCTTTTTCAAGTTTAAATGTTGGTACTAAACGTTCTTGCTTATATGATGAAATAACGTTTGCCTCCAGAACTTTGCCAAACCACTGTAAAATGTTTTGTGTATCGAAATTCAAATCGAAGTTCCTGATATCTGTATCTGATGGATTTTCTGATGGTTTTATTGCTTTTTTCTGTGTTTTATGAGGTTTTTGCTGAATTACTTGATATGGAGATTGTGAAGTAATTGACGAAGTTGGTTGTATTGTCAAAATTGATCCCATTTTTGAAAGAGACCTGATAGTTAATGAAGGCTCTATCTGAATTTTCGAAGTTTCTAAAGTTTGTTTTCTATACCAAAGTTCATTTGTTATTTTCATTTTATTCACCTCTAATTTTCTGTTTTCTCGTTCTACCTTATTACGTAATGAAGGCAATTTATATGACGTTTTAACTAGAAAATTAAATTCTGAATTTTGTCGTTTAAATTGTTTTGATTTTGTACACGGTAAGTTCATTACAGAATTCATGAACGTTGGAGTTCGACTGGGGTTTTTATGCTTTCTCAATTTCCTCATTTTAGATGGTATCTGTACAGATGTTACTGGAAATAATCCCAGGTGTATTGGGCCTGATTTTGTAAGGAAAGCTGTTTCAAATAAAGATTCTTCACTTCTACATGTCAAATTACCTTTCGCAAAACGGTGTTTGTTTATTATACTGTTTGCTAAATTAACTGATGTGCTTTTAGGAGGTTGCTGTCTATTACTCATCATATTTTCTTTATAGTTTGTAAAGTATTGGGCTTTAATTACATTGACTTCCTCTTTTTTTGGTGTCCTTTGTTTATTGAGACTGATTTTGCTGCTAATTAACATTTTAGTAGCTTCACTAGCCATTATATTTCTACAATAAATCAATGCATATATCTTAACCGTTTTGAGATAAAATTGCTTAATTATAATCTATAGATTAATGATTTTTAAAATTTTAACTTTTATTGTTCATTCATCTTTGTTCACTTTAGTTTTGTTATTCACCTTGGAAAATGTTAACAGATGAATCTTGTCTACTGTAATTGATTTCAATCAGGATCGAGGTTTACAGAGCAAGCTATGAATCATGAGTGAAGAAATTAGAACACTCCGCTTCTCCCTGACGTTTGTGCTGATGATGTCGTTCAGAAGAACGATGAAACCTCCACGACCAAACCGTCCAGCTCAGAGAACAAAACTTCATCAAAATCATCCACATGAGCTACAAATCATATCCACCATCCCTAAAAACAATCCTGAATATCGCACTTCTAGGTTGACAAGATACCGATATTCCTTAATGATGAATGTTAATATTCTTACAACCATACCTTTCACCACAGTGTAAGGGTAGGCTTTCCTATCGCAGTAACTTAGTGAAATTGTATCTAATACATTGTTTGTTTCTTAAGTTATTGTTATTCCTGATTGATAGGTTTTAAACTTAGAAGTCTTGCCTATGCTGCTGACCTTACAAATGTACAGTATCAATATGAGGCATTCCGTGATAAACATAAATCCTCCTTAATTATGCATTCAGAAAAATCCTGGAATCACTTACTGTAAAAGTAATACTATTAAGACAAAGAAAAAAGTGTCATTTAATTCTCTTCGTTCCAACCTTTTAACTGACCCACCTACTATTGCCATGTGGTTTTCCAGTCACTGATTCACTCACTGATGTTTCCGCTATAGCGCTCATTAAGTAAAAACAGTCCCACTTACACTGGGTCCTTCAGAGACTTTCATCTAGCTGGTAAACAATGCTTGTAATTAAGTGATGTGTCCATAAATAGACACTTTTGAGTAAAAACATTCAGAGAATAGTAAATAATTGTTTTATATTAGATCTATTCACAGCTCTTAATTGGTAACATATGAGGTAATCAATTAGGAACCGCGAATAAAAGTTCAGCCTGTACCCTATCAAACTAAGTGCTTACCTCTTTAATACTGCAAGATTTCCGCCATTTTTGGTTGGTCTCACTGAATCGTGATAAGATAATTCAAGACTTCCTAAACTTAAAGATGGGGAGCGTACCTTTGGTAATTCTTTAACTCGCTTTGCTAAAAATTCTTTAGAATTTAATAGAAATTCGTTCATTTTTATTTGACTCTGTGGAGTTCTTTCAGGAGTTGATAACCTGAATTGTTGTCCAACCATATACATTTTCATTTCGTTGCTTTCTAAAACATCATTTTTAATATGTTTACTAAGTGACGTATTTGAAGTTTTACACATAAGTTTGTCTCTAGAAGATTCAAACAACTCAACATTCTCATCAAAATTTTCGGATTTATCAATGGTTTTATCTTTTGAGAAAGCTTCATTTGAATACTTGTATAATCTAACAACTTTCTCATTAAATGATGAAGATCCTGTTATCTTTATGATTTCATTAGACATTTTATTGCAGTTTGTTTGTCTCCATTTGTTAAATTTGATTAGTTCTTTTGTTTGAAGTTCCATTTCGTTTTGTTGCATTTTATTTAGTTCATCTGCTTTCCTTTCGTGAAACATTTCATCTAATTCAAACATTATATCAAGTGTTTTACATAATCTAGTTATGTTAGAATTGTTCTGTCTTCTTGTATCCTTTGAAGTTAAATTATTCATAACGAATTGATTGCTTTGTTTCACTGTTTCCTAAATAAATTTATTTTGATTTTATTTATTAATACTGCCAGTATTAGAAACATCTTAGATTATAAGTCAATGATAATTTTCATACCTTTTTTTAAAAAATACATTAGTGTTTAAGATAATCAATCACTTAGTATCTAAGGCTATTTGATGACAAGACGATTTTATGTGTAAAAAAAAGTTTTATTTTAACAAGCGACCATCGCAACAAATAAATTACATGTGAATATAGAATATACTTGTATTCATTTCTGAATAGTGAAAGTATTTACAGTTTGTTCAAAAAAACGAATTGGTTAAAGAATTTTATAAACTGATATACGAATATTTTTGGTGCTATCTATGTGATGATTATCTGAATAAATAGATGAATTAATCGATCGCGTTAACCTAACCACATTCAGAATGTACTGTTTTTCTGAATACTTAGTTAATAAATACCATTCCTAACTTTAGCTCTTAGATTTTGTTCCCCTCTTTTAAACTATATTTCTCAAGTACTGAATTGTTATTCTATTTCTCTTTCTGTATTTTTCATCTGGTCAATCTTCTTTCTCACTGTGATAGTTTCAAATGTCATTGATTGAATCCAGCTGTCACGTCATGCATTAAAGATTACAGTAAATAATTGGTTCACCTTATGATGACTATATTTTCTTTATACATATTACTTTTATGTCTTCTTGTTTATTGTATTGTTGTTATTCCATATCTCGTTTTAGAAGCTACTTTCAGTATAAAAAGATAACTTTACAAATGTTTATAAATAAACAGAACTTATGGTCACACAATGTATCTTTAACCTAATTTGTTCTTCCCCACTAACCCATACACCTCATATCTTCATTAGGTATTAGTTATTACTCAACTCAAATGTTTCAGTGTATTGTCACGAAACAAGAAGATAAATTTCAGTAAAATTAAGTATAATACATGGTACCAGTTAATCAAAATAAGTTTATGCAACTCAAGTGTTAAATAAAGTTATAAGAAACTTATTTACTGTTAGAATAAATGAAATTTAATATTTGTTAGATATACATGTTTCATTCCATATTTACATACTGACTTGAAGATTAAACCACCGTTTAAGTAATTAAAGCAATACTGCTCGTTTTCACAAATAAAACATTGGTCTCAAAATTAAGTGAAGTTGTACTTGATCACTTAATCGGATAAATATTCCTAAATAGATAGTTTTTTTTAAATACATTGACAAACAATCAGAATTTAATCCGAGAGGGATTTTATGGATATTATAATAATTTAATAGTTGAATTCATGAGTTAATTGAAGGTAAGCGTTGGTGTGCACGACCGACAGGTCCTGGGTTCGAATCTCGCGGAAGGGCGGGATCGTGGATGCGCACTGCTGAAGAATTCCATACTAGGACGTAACGGCCGTCCAGTGCTTCCAGGTTTTTCATAATGGTCCAACTTTAATTGACTTATGAATTCAATTATTAAATCAGAATTTATTTAATATGATAGTAATGTTTAAATAAACTCAAAATTAATTTAAAACTACCTGGAGCTTATTAACTGATGTAAATGCATTCTATATAAAAAATGTAAGAAACAATGAAGAGAAGTGAATTCATAAAAAAGTAAACATTTTATAAAATAACTTTAATAGCAAACAATAATTGAAAAATTATTATTATTGGTGGCTTTATTCAATATGGAATTCTCAGCACAAAGTATTTCAACAAGTTCCCGTTTCTTGTCTCTTGATCGATACTAACGATAAATATTGATGTAAGCAGTTCAGGAATCGACATCTGAATAATTTATATTCTTTTCGATGCATATTGCCAGCAGTCACGTTGTCTCTGATTGAGCTCTTTCTTAACTTGTACAGCGAAATGTCTTAAACTTTTCAGAAATACACCTGAATAGATTATGAGACTAATAGGCATAATGATGTGTTAAAACAAACAAGAAAACAGACAACTTGTTGAAATATCTAGATGGGAGGAACAAGTAGCCCAAATATTCAAGCATACAATTGACTACAATACTTTTTACGTGAATATATATTAGTACTATAAAAACCATAAACTTTTTATATAGTGATAAAATAACTTGAAATTGTTTAAATTTTTTTCTTAACGGACCACATATTCATATTCTCATCAATATTGCTTAATAAATTCACCTATGTAATATCTTTATATTTTACACAGTATCGACTTAAGTTATTTATTTATTTAAATAATGTATTATGATATTGACACAAACTGATAAGTATTCAATGTATTACAACTGTCAATGGTTTATTAGATCATGCTAATAAGATTATCTTACTTACTTACTTACTTATTTACTTACTTACGTAGAGGAGCATGGGCTGCCCACAATCACTCTCCATTCAACCCTGTCCCAAGCAATCCTTTCCAGCTCTTTCCAGTTACTACTCATCCTTTTCATATCTGATTCTATTTTCCGACGTAATGTGTTCTTCGGCCTTCTTTTCCACTTCCCTTCAGGATTCCAATTTAGGGCTTGCCTCTTGATACAGTTTGATGATTTGCGTAATGTATGTGCTATCCACTTCCATCGTCTTATCATAATTTTTTCTTCAGCTGGAAGCTGGTTTGTTCTCTCCCACAGTAAGCTGTTACTGATGGTATCCGGCTAATGGATGTTGAGTATCTTACGTAAGCAACGATTTATAAGTACTTGTACCTTCTTGATGGTGGTTGTTGTAGTTCCCTACGTTTCAGTTCCGTATAGTAGAACTGCCTTGACGTTCGTATTGAAGATTCTGACTTTGATATTGGTTGAAAGTTGTTTTGAGTTCCATATGTTGTTTAATTGAAGGAATGCAGCCCTTGCTTTGCCAATACTCGCATTTACGTCTGCATCTGAACCTTCCTGTTTGTTAACGATGCTTACCAGGTATGTAAAGGATTCGACATCTTCCAGAGTTTCGCTATCAAGAGTGATTGGATTGGTGTTCTCCGTGTTGTATTTGATGACCTTGGTTTTCCCTTTGTGTATGTTGAAGCCTACTGATGCAGAGACTGCTGCTACACTGGCTGTCTTTATCTGCATTTGTTCGTGTGTATGAGATAGGAGGGCTAGGTCATCTGTGAACTCCAAATGATCTAATTTGTTCTGAGTTGTCCATTGTATGCCGTGTTTTCTCCCAGATGTCGAGGTCTTCATAATCCAGTCGACCATCAGAAGAAAGAGGAAGGGACAGAGTAGACAGTCTTGTCTTACTCCAGTCCTTACTTGGAATGCATCTGTCAGCTGTCCTCCATGCACTACTTTGCACTGTAGTCCATATATATATATATATATATATATATATATATATATATATATATATATATATATATATATAAAGCTTATGATGTTAAACTTAATAATGAGTCAAACTATAAGCTTGATACATTTTCACAAAATTTTACCTTTAAATTGATATTTAGTTGAAATTCGATACAAAACTATGAAACAACCGATGAATTCAAACCAAGCCTGTTCATTAATCTATTTGATTTCAATTATCAAACAATAAAGATGGTTTAAAATAGCTTCCCACCTAGTTGTTATAATATTTAATGAATTAAAATAAAGAAAATAAATATTCAATCATAACAATAAATAAACTTACTTCTATCATGTCAACTGATTTCATTTCTGTTTGTACATCATCATCACTTGAATATTTAATCACCGTATTCAATGTTTGTAACTTATTATGTTCAATATCTGAATGTTTCAGTTGTTCAATGGTATCTGATAATATCCTTTTCTTAATTTTATCTTCATGAAGTTTCTTCAAGGAATTATCATCTTTAAACAATCGTTTTAAAGGTGATAAATTAAACGAAACTATTTTTGAAAGTGATTTAGATCTTTTAATTGATTTATGAATTAAAATTTTCAATTTCTTTTTATTGCATGTTTTTAATGTATCAATTAATTTTTGTGGAAATTTTATATTCATTAAATTGCCAATCTTTTGTTTAGTATCATTATCATTACAAATAGCATTGTAAATTATTATATCAGATTCTTCTTTATGTATGCCTATATTTATTAAATGATTTTCTAGTATATTTCTTGTTGTTTTAAATGAAGATAAAAATAAGTCTAAATGTTGTTTACCTCCTAAATAACCTTCATATTTTGTTTTTATACTATTCATAATATCTACAGTTGTTTTTAAGTTTAACATAATGTCAATATGTCTCATTAATTCTTCTGAATTACCAACTAAACTACTTAAATAAAGAAAAGTCCACTTGGGACTAATTATAGTATTAATCATACGAACTCTAATATTTGTTGATTGGAAATACTTATCTAATAGATAAATACTTGACTTATCTTGTTTAATTGCTTGATGAAATACTGTCATTACATTAGTAAGTGTACCCCATTCTTTACTCATTTGTTGCAAATATGTTTTAACCATACTAGTGGGAAGAGTATGACTAGTTCTTTTCTCATTTTTCTTTTGTGTTGCTTTCTTATCGCTACTTTTGATATAATCACTTAAATAGTTATCTTTTACTTGTGTAGTTTCTTGTTGATTCTCTGATTCAGCTAGGTTTTTTCTTTTCATTCCATTTTCATTTATATCTCCTTGTACTATAAAAGAGAAAAGATATAAGAAATAAATAAAGAAATCTATCAAACTGTTCTATGAACATAAAATCACATTTTTTTCAATTAAAAGACTATTAGGATTTAGTCAGCAATTGTATCCAATACTTTTAAAAGTTATGCATATGGATTTAGATAGGTATATTTGTCATAATACATTCGAATCCTTATGATATAGTTTCACACATTTACATTAAAAATGTAGTTTCCAAACAATTTATTTTAGAAATACAAAGTTACTTACTTTTGTTTTCAAGATACTGTGGAGTGGTCTGCCTTTTAATTTGTTCAACCAAATGATTAATCTGTTCTTTTGTAAAATCATTTTTATTCACATTTCTACAAGATTGTATTGATATACTGTAAGCTTCTCGTCCTGGATTGTCAATCTCTTCAGTTTTCACATTGATTATGATATTAGGTAATTTATTTAAAAAATTAACTATTAATAGGTCATTATTCGCTGAAACTATAGATGACAATATTTCGTTAGCATTTTCATCAGACTACAAATAACAAATGAAAGAATAGGACTAATAACATGTTCATGATAAACTTTTGATAAATAAAGTAGATTCACTAAATGAATCGGTTGTTAGTTGGTTATAAGCAATCAAAAACCCTGGACCTAGATGTCATCTTAAACCACACTCATCAGAAAGGCATGTGTGCGGCTAAGCGTGAACTGACATTTTACGCGAAATTCTAACGAGAGTCATATAATGTCACATTCAAATAACATCTTAGCTTTAAATTCGCAATAAAACTTACTGACCACTGTAGTAATCTGGAAAGAAAACAATTTATTTCCATATTTTATGAAAAGCTTGGATAATCTTAAGGATTATTCAAATAATAAACTTGAAAATATTTTTTTCATGAGTAAATAACTCCATTTAGAGAATCATAAAGAGCGAAAGAGCTTTGAATAACTATTACATTCTAATTTAAAACTTCTGATCAATGACCACTCATGAACCAAAGACTAGACAAATACATTTAAGAAAAAGTAACTTCTGGGAAATCATTGGAAGAATAATTTATAGACTACTATTAACTAATTAGTAACATAAATTAGAAAGTAGGCAAATATATTTTAACTGTATATGAAGTATTATCCAGTGCAATTAAATCAGAGTTTAATGATGACATTAACCATAAGTAATTAATTATGAATTGATTTTATTCAATAAATGAATGTTCGTGTTGCTAACTAAAAATAACAACTAGGGTAATTTGTAGATAATTTATAATATATATATATTAGTAATGTATTATGTTTACTTCATACATATCATTAATCTGATAGATAAAAATTAGTTTTCATCATGGACTGGTAGAATCTAATGTGGATATGTATACTAAATATTCTACATTTTCTGCTTCATTCTTTATACTTTATTCACTTTTCTATTCTTGTAAATGTTCCATGAAAAGGTCAGATATAATTTTTGAAATTACACAATAACAATTCATGATATTTATATCTTTATTCACTTATCAATACGATAATAAAAAAACACATTTTCATTTAAAGAGTTGACCTTTATTTGGTGCAATCGTCAAACAAAATTCACGAATACTTTAAGGTCTTAAGTAAAAATGTTACGAATATATTTGTATTTACAACTAGTACGTTATGAAATACTTCAGGTAACTTTGATCAGTTATCGGGTAGTAACTAATGTCATCATGGTATGTGTTGATCGGAATCTGCTGACATAAATTATGGTGTCGCCAGAATAATAAGTAACTCGATAGTAAAGTACACTTTATTCGATATAAGATAGTGATTAGTACAGCTTAATCGTGCTGACTAAGACTATGACATTATATGATATATGTTCGAATTCCATTGGCAGTATTAGTTCTCTTATAATTAAAGATAAATCATATATATATATATATATATATATATATATATATATATATATATATATATATATATATAAATGTCAGTCTAAATCACAAATCTAGATTTCCTTAATGATTATTACATTTATGAAAGGCTTTCACGTCATAAATGAACCAAGCGACAAAAGCCGTTTATTTTATACTTAATAGTTATACGTTCACATGATTTAAGGAAACTAAACATTCAGGGTGGGATTACAGATTATATGTTTATAAAATTGTTTATATCACTTTTGAACACATCATCATCATCAAAAAATATCCAAACTACCCGATGGTTTTTATTGAAGAATATACAAAATTAAGTAAACAAAATCAACTGTATCTCATAAAATTATATGCTGTAACTAACAAGACATATGAATTTCTCATAGGAATTTACTTAACTGAAAAGGGAAACATAACTTCAATTGGAAAATCATTAAAAATGAAGAAGTAATGACTACCCGTTTCAATCTATTTTTAAACTTTTCAACAATCAGTACCATTGAAAATAAATAATGTTGAATCAAAGATGTTTCAGTCTTGACTACAATAATATTGTTTAATCATTACTTACTAGTGATAAGTCAAAAAATAAATGATTAAAATGATTATATAATACTTTCTAGTTACTTAGATTTCTCTAAATATTGTTAATTAACAAATGAAAACTTTCTTCAATTAAAATGTGTATGTGAATTAATCTGTAAATCTAAATGATCATTAAAGTAGTATCCGTTATGACTTAATGTCTAGCTAGTCATCACGTGGTTTATCCGCCAATCGAAATACGACTTATACAATCTTAGCACGGTGCCAAACTGATGACGTTCGACCGGTATGAGCAGCCTAGCGTCCTTATTGGTCCTATGTCCGCCTAACCCGTCCACTTGAGTCCAGAACACCGATACCAGCTTCCACCATTCGAATTGAATAATTTATTTCAGACGTACTGGGTTTTTATATCAAACAAATAGACTGCAACCCATCATAAAGTAGGAAATAACATTTGTACACAATAAAGCCAAAAAGTGGCTGTGAACATGGGAAGCAGTAGTCAATAAACTGAACATAGCTTAGGAACATTAAATCGTACAATAATAATATGTAGGTCAAAATAAAGCTTATAATAAGGGGAATATAGATATACATAATCTATTTACTGAATATTTATACCATGAGAATATATAAATAATATTAGTCCATTAATAGGTCTCAGATGTTACTCGTAATGTAATCTTCACTAGGATATAACAGTATCAGTAATTCTTTATTTATCACTTTTATTTACAAAATATCTTTATTCGTAGTTGAACCTTGTAAACTCAGTAGATAAATTTCCATGTATCCTTTTAGTATCAAAATAGGGAATCACGAACATTTAAGTGTTAAACTAATTTCAATGATTAGAAAGTAGTTTGATTCCTTTATAATTGTTTAATTACACTAATGAATGTTGAAATAATGAATGACCATTGAAATCATAACCAATTTATTTTATTAAACTAACTAAATTACATATGAAATGTAGTGAAAATCGATAATTATACAAACGAAATGAGGAAGTAGTTAATCACTATTAGATTATAAGGTCTTTCATAAATAGTTATTACAACAACTATTTATCACTATGGATCGGTTAAGTTTATTTTTCAAATAAATAGATCACTATTATTTTAGTTGACAATTAATATTAACCTAATTTCAAATTTTAAGCAAACAGTTAATCACTTACTAAGGTAGTTATGAGATTTTCATACTTTTACATGAAACTATCATAAAATGTCACTGGCTAAGAGGTAATCGAGTACGAAGAGTTGAGCGGAAACTTCTTTCTAGTTTAAAACCTTTAAGCACATATCACTCATCATCCCATACAGACTTCGACACATAACTCGATATCAATTAATCAATGAACTAGAATCCTTATTTAATTACTTACTTACGCCTGTTACTCCTCGTAGAGGAGCATAGGCTGCCCACAATCACTCTCCATTCAACCCTGTCCCAAGCAATCCTTTCCAGCTCTTTCCAGTTACTACTCATCCTTTTCATATCTGATTCTATTTTCCGACGTAATGTGTTCTTCGGCCTTCTTTTCCACTTCCCTTCAGGATTCCAATTTAGGGCTTGCCTCTTGATACAGTTTGATGATTTGCGTAATGTATGTGCTATCCACTTCCATCGTCTTATCATAATTTTTTCTTCAGCTGGAAGCTGGTTTGTTCTCTCCCACAGTAAGCTGTTACTGATGGTATCCGGCTAATGGATGTTGAGTATCTTGCGTAGACAATTATTTAGTAGTTCTGCAAGTGTCAGCTTCGAACGATAGAATCGTCTTGACGTTCGTATTGAAGATTCTCATTTTGATATTGTCGACAGACAGTTTTTTTGAGTTCTATGTACTCATCAACTATATCAATGCGGCCCTTGTTTTGCCAACCCTCGCCTTTATGTCTGTATGTGTTACACCTTGTTCATCGATGATGCTTCTAAGGTATGTGGAAGATTCCACATCCTTCAGAGCTTATCCTTCAAGCGTGATTGGATTAGTGTTCTCAGTGTTGTATTTGAGGATTTCGGTTTTCCCCTTGTGCATGTTGAAGCCAACTGATGCAGAGACTGCTACTACACTGGCTGTCTTTATCTGCATTTGTTAGTGTGTATGGAATAAAAGAGCTAGGTCATCTGCAAAGTCCAAATCGTCTAATTTGTTCTCAGCTATAAATCGACTAAACTCGGAAATATGTTTTACTGAAAGTAGAATCCAATTCAATTTACAAAAATGCTTGTCTACTGTATGTGAAACTACTGATATTTTAGTTATTCCATTTTCTTAACTTCATTCGATTACTTTTTATTGATATGATAGAAAACTATTAAATCAGTATTAAGTTTGCTTTATCGTATACAATAAAAAGTTTAGTTCCTAAATGTCTATTAAATAATAAAATAAAACACTTCACAGTTTCATATATAAAGACAACTTATTCAACAAAAAGATTTTATGACTTAGTTGATTGTTTTTTTTGAATTTTATATTCGTTGTGTAATGAGAAAAAGTAATTTGATCACTATGTTATCATGTCTCCACTTTTTTAAAAAAAAAACATTTACTATGTCAGTAAGTAAATGTAAACTGTTAATAAAAAAAATATACAAATTAAATATTTTTTCTGAACTAATTAAAAGTAAATTTAATGCAAACTTGATTCATATGAAATTAGTAATACAATGAAGAATAAATAAAAGCAGAGATTACTTGTGCATATAAAATTCGATGATAATTTTACGTTATATTAGTAAATTCCAATTAATGAACTTTCCTACATTACTTTATGTAAAGTATCTTATCATAGTGCACGCGACGTCGAATCGCTTAGACTAGTGGACATATTTCAACTTCGTCGACAGAATTCCATCTACAGTATAAATCACGCAAAACATATTGTATTGGTCACTACCCAGTAACCAATCATTCTCAAGCACAAACACCATACATTAGACAGTGAGAAAAATACATGTCATTAAAATGTAAACTGTGTATGTTTTTTAAGTCCTTTTTATCAACAATTAATTAGTTCAATAAAATCAAGTAAACGAACGTAGATAATTATATTGCCATTTAATTGTACAGAAAATGACAAGTCAAGAATATTCTCTAAATGTAAAGGAAGAGGATTGATGTTTAATAGAACGGTATAAATGTTTGCGTTTAAACATTATCATATAAACAATCATATTACACTCATATATATTGGTTATCTGGATCTTCCCATCAACGTTTACAACTACAATTGATCAGTCTCGCTTCGCATATATGCATTCCATACAGATTGCCATTGAGTCACAAGTATAATATACAGAGATGGATGATGACTTGTAGTGGAGTTCAAGAAATGTGTTTCTTTATATTTGAGACTCGTCAGTTGGATGCATCTGCATATTAGAAATGATGTTTATTCATGGATCCGTACCCAATACCTTTTACTTAAAGCACTAACGTGTTATCCAATTAGCTACTGATTCCCAGGGTAAACATCGGCTTGACGACCCCTAAATGTGATGAGATCCGCGTCCCGGATTTCGGTGCAAGCTATCATCTATTGCTTTATATGTGAACGTGTTTCAGATGAATATCTGTTTATTCATTATAGATCTTCAAGAGTTGTTCAAACCAATCTAAGTAAACAAATTTTGGATCAATATACTTTCAAGGTTTTGTGGTAGAATTCTATAATTTTCTTCTATTCTATAAGTACACATTTACAAAATTATTACGAATTATTTAACCTGTTATGTGTTTGATTATCATTAATCTATTTCATTATAAACTATACCCTGATTTAATGAAAACAAACCAACAGGTATCAACATAACATACATTCATATTATTTCTATATCGTACTTATGAAAGACATCACTTACGGATTCTTTTTTTCCAAAAGGTTTCCATTTGACACGAATTGGCGAATTCGGTACATAACCTTAAAAAATGAACAGCGTTTTACTAATATTACTTAAACGAATATAGTAGTATTGACAAATCCAAATAGATCACTAATAGGTTGGAAGTATATTGAAATGATTATGACAATTTTAACTTAAAGGTTAAATCTAACTTAGTACTGTAGCCTCTAGCAAATATAAATAATTTTTTATATCAATATTTTACTAACATATACTGGAGATATTGTAAGGTGAACTGAATCCAGGTGTGATAGTTTGCCAATAACCTAATGGTTTTCAGTCATGAATAATGCATCTTCACGAGTAATTTTCAAGATGTTCATTAGATAACTTAGAACGCTACGAAAATGGTCATAATCAACAAATACATTTACGCGCTACTTTCTTAACACTGACAATTTGTACAAAGTATTATATATTTTTCCTTCTTGGCATCCATATTTTCATTATTGAGCCATTGAGCAACATATAATGTCATATTTCTCCTATCAGATCCTAACCTGTTATGCCGAAGTTTAATAACAATCCAAAGTAAATAGACACAGGATATTTTAATCATTTCATATCAATAAATTCAAATTAACTCTGTTACTAATCTTCTGTAACTATTATTACTTAATATGGGGCTATAAGACGATGCATTAATGTTACTTTGTAATATGTTTTCCTAAAAAAAAAAACAGATAACAGTGCAATGAACCTACCATCAGGTGCAATTATTGTAGTCGGTATATCTTTTCTTGATTTACGCATATCTTTCATAATAACTGGACTATTTTCTGGATATAATGAAATAGGTGAAGAAGTATAAAAACATGGAAATTCTTTAACATCATTTGTGTAATTAAAATGTTCACAATAATTTGATGTTACATTATCGGATTGCAGACGTTTCATCATTAGCAATTCAATATCTCTTTTATCTGATTTATTGGTGTGGATAAAACTTAACTAATTCAGGACTTCCAAAGTCTATGTGTAAATAGTGTACAACAGTTAAGTTTTGATGATCATAATAATTAATTCATTATTAGTTTGAATTCTGTTAGTTAAAGTAAATCAATTCAGAATTGATTCATTTAAATTTAACTGATTGTGATAATTTACTAACATGATAAAATAATCAATAAATTGTAACTATTCATCTAGTGAGTATCTTAATACATTAGCATTTGATACCAATGACTGATTAAACTATTTTGTAATGAATTACATATATTGGCTTGTTTATATACTTGTTAAGATCCATCTATTCATACTTGAAGAGGAAAATTTGATTAAAGGAGACCTAATTACATTAAATCGATTTCTTGCCCAAATGAAACTTTCGAGTAGAACAGAATTTTAAAGAAGTGTTTTCTTTTTCGACTCAGAATACGGTGTATATTGTAGAATTTCCGTTATTTAACAGATCAGAATTAAGGCACTTTCAAATACCAATCAAACACAGGATAGTTTTATTCATTATTTATCAATAAGTAAGTAATCAGCTTTAAATGATACATTGGAATATGAACTTTACTGCGTTTAAACTTAGTCGTTGCAATATCTTGGTTCGTCTAATTGTGTTTGAAATGTTTATTAATAATAAGTATATTTTGTGTTATATCCCAATGAGTAGAAAAAGTGTATTTCCGACGTTTTGTGACATAATGTAAGCCAGTTCTTCAGGGTGAAAAAATAACTGAAAAAAAAACAAAAATATACTTATTAGTAACTTTCTACCCAATGCCCAACTTATTTGAAACTATCATGTCCAACATATAAAGTGTTCATCATTTGGTTATTAATAATTTAGTATCTGAAATTAGACTTTAACTCAAATGAGCTAAACATGATCTGTAATTGCAAAATTACATGTATCCTGTCCAAAATCCAAAAGTCAAAAATCTATTTCTGACTTCGATTACCTAGTTCTCGTGACTTAACAATTGTTCATCGTTTCTAATCAATAATTATGTTTAATGAGTCATGGGATCAGGTTTTACCCTATTTCCCTACCCTTTAACTTAGATCACGAGCTGTTAATACGAGTTAAGAAGTTACCTGTGCAGTTTTGAGTAAAATAATGCTCTCAGCGCTCCACAGAAATTGATCAGCATAAAAGATTATAAAAATGTAGTATTATTTACCACTCATCGATCAATCAGTGCTATCTAAATTGGTGGTTCAATTTCGGTTACCAAGTTATTGCTGATTCATTCGAGTTATTTGCCTTTTAAAAGTTGCTCGACTAACGAAAATGGTTAGAAAATGTTTTCCATTTAATTTCATTTTCGAGGAGACGAAATATTCCAGTATTTAAATCAATATGTGATTAATGTGATTTTCCGTGAGGCTTTTTTGAATTTCCAAAATAACTTACATAATTGATTAACTTTCTTTAAATAACCATTGAAAACCATGAACCGTTGGACAAATGATTATTTACAGCTTGCTACTCCCTAGTCATGCACATCAGAAACTTCACATGAGATTGATCCATTCACTATAAGTATTTTGCGGGAAAGAGATTGAATCTAACAGTCCAAATTTCAGATTGTTGTCAATTCATGAAATCACCCGATTATCATTCAATGCTTTCAATGGGTAAATGATCAACTATTGACTAGACTGACTCCACAAATCACGTTTTCCAACTTAAATCTGCCAGATTATGTTGTAAACAATTTTTTCTAAGTAAACAAATGACCATAAAATTTTTATCTTGTTTTACTTATGTATTTATTGTATATTTTCATTTGTATTACTTCAGATCAAGTGTTTAATTCCATTACTCAAAAGTCAAATCATGAGGTACTTATGATTTTTTTATCTTGATTGCAGGCTTGAGTTATTTCCCCTCTTAGGAATGTCCAGAGTATGAAGATATAGTAATTGATGTGAAAGATTTAGCGTCTGTCATATATTCAACATTTTATAACAATTTTACAAGTTAATGATATAATTACAAATTAAAAGTCAGTACACAACTGTAATGTTTTCCATGGTTAATTGGTACATAGTTAACTGATTTCTATTATCGATTGTTGAAAGATGTAATGATATTGAGTGAATTAAACGAAAAGTTATTACCAAAAAATAGATTCTTATTCTCTAAAAACAAACAAAGTCAAACAGAAATACTCATCCAAATTTCATAATTTTTCTTTTATGGCATTTTTACCAATGACATTGATTAATAATGGCACGATGGTGTCTAGCACAAATAATTAAATTATAAAATTATACTTGACAGTTAGTGATATTATAAAATTGAAATTGGTCTATGAACAAATAGTTATTCCAAGATGATTTCTTCTATGACATTATGGATCTTATTCAAGTATATAAAGATTTCAATATATTCATCAAAAATGATGAACCCTATATCCTATATCGAAAACGATTATAAATAATTGTTAAAATATGTGTTATTAACTGTTACAAAAAAGTTTTTTAGTTGAAAAGAAAAATAATTTAAGCTTTAACACTATAAATCCAAGTGAAATTTCATCTATTTCAGATGAAACCGACAAATAATATATCACTTAAGGGTAACTAACCAGCTGGTTATAAAAAAACAACTATGTGTAAAAGTAACATTCTCATAAATATTTTTATTAGAATAAAGAAATTCTCTTGTAAGACATTTATTATCTATATGTGTACGTGTGTGCTTATTTCCATATCATTTTTTACTTGGCGATTTGTTTCACTTAAAACTAGTTTATTTAATAGTTAGAACACTCTAGAATAGTTGGTATCAGATAAAATTGAAATCAATTGTTTTTTTTTTTCATTTTTAAGTTAACAAATTTATAATGTAACATATTTAATAAATATTAAAACAACTAAATTTATACAATTAGTCACCTTGATAACTAACTAAAAAATTATTGTCTTAAATAATTAATTTCTAATGGTACATACTATTTATTTATGGATGATATATAGCTCTTTTGTGTTAGTTGTACAATATAGGTCATTGTATTCAAAAAGGTAAATGATATTATCTTCTTTTTCCAAAAAAAAAGAAAGGTAGAAATAACGAAGAACAAATGTTTTTATTCTTCATTATTATTCAATGAAATCTACAATTACACACATTCTTTAAAGATAAATAAAGTTATCATTCTTATCATTCTTCACTCAGCAACTCAGAATATTTGTAAAAGAAAAACCAGTAGCCATTATAATGATAAATAACGATAATTAACTTAAAAAGGTATTAGTATAAGGTTACGGAGATTGTTGATCAATATTAGATCACCATTGAAAGCCTAGAAGCACTAGATGGCTGTTTCGTCCTAGTGTGGGCTCGTCAGCAGCGTACATCCACGGTCTTGCATTCAGGATCATCCTATACTAGAACAAAAAGGTTGTCCAGTGCCTTCAGGCTTTCAATGATGGTTTAATATTGATCAGTTCAAGATTCCAATTAAATAGGCGTATTGGTGAAAATATCTAAATGTTCTCAATTGTTTTTCAATGGTTTATATGACTATGGGCTTTTTATATTTTATTTTGATTGGTATAACTAGTATCGTTGGTACTTCTCAGATAAGAACCATGTCTTAAAAACTAAGTAATTCATAATGTACTTGGATATTGAGTTTCAATCCTATTTCGTTTGAGTTTAAAAAATCGAAACATTCTGTGTTTCATATTTTCTTAAATTTATAAAGTTTACATTGATTTCCTAGGAAAGTTGTTGTTGTATAAATTCTCAATCACTGATATTTTAGATTTCAGTTAATCTAAAAATATAACTTCTTTGTCTTATGTTAGGAAATTTTTATCAAATCCAAAATTTGGTAAACTCCAAGTAACAATTTGCAATTAAAGCATCTTTTATTTGTGCTGTAAAACTAATTTCTCAAAAATTATTCAACTACATTTTTACAATCTATTATAAATTGTTCATTAGAATAAACATTTGAATGGAATTTGTTGTTTGATGAGAAACAAGAAAATTCATTTTAATATCTTGACCATAAACAGCTTGTTACATTTACAATTTTTCACAAGGACTTGTTCCGATCAAATCATCATACAAATAAGTCATTACTAGACATATGGATTTCTTATAACCATCATTTCATTTTATTAATACAGAATAATACGAGTTGGAACTAAACGTTTTTGGCTCATGCAAATAAAAAGCAGCATAGTCGTATATAAACATTTATTCATTATTATCAATGACTTAGTTATTATAAAATATACTACATAAACGGAATGCTCCAACTGCCCTGGTATGGCCTAGAGTAAAGCGGGCCCGCCCTCCCTTTTGAAATGCTCTCACATGGCCACGCGTATACAGCCTCTGCCAGGGAAGTCCTACTCACTGCCTTTTCGTGGCGGGGGTGTTGGTTACGAAAATGAGAGGAAGAAAAGCGAATGCCTGGCGCTTTAACCAGGTCCAAAACCAATGGTGCACTTGGGTCCCAGTATCGTGAAGGAACAAATGGCGTATGAACCAATCGTTGGTCACCGGCTACCATGGGATCGCATCTCCTCACGATGCTCCACTTCCTTGTGGACTAGACCTCTAGGTAAAATGCTCCGGATGTGGCCCTCTAAGAAAACCATCTGCTTCGGTCTGGCCACCTGGACAGTATCACAGCCCACACACAAATAAAATTTTGTGTGGCGCATATGTATTTGGTGCCCTCTTGTACCAATATTTACGTGTTCAAATAAATAAATAAATAAACGGGATAATTTGAGTTTTAAGATCATTTTATGGAAGTGATCTGAGAAACATCAAGATATATATCTTTTAAGTTGCTTCTGTTATTATTCGTTATCCGATAGTCCTCTTTCATACATTGGATTAATCTATCATCCTTTATATTCATTTTTCTGAGATAATTTTTCTTTGTATTAGTTACTTCAAAACGTTCAGATCATAT